ATCATCATAAATTTAAAATGAAGGTGTCGCCGTAAATCGCTCTGCCAATTGTAAAATAACCTTAAGCGATTACGGCACATTCTATAAATATCATTGAATTGAACGGTTTGCCACTGCAACCATTATCCTAATTACACAAGCACACACTCCCAGTCACATACACATTCTACGACCACTGTGGTCTCCTTCTCCTTACATACACATACATATATCCTTATATCGAGGAAGTCATAGAGAACTTTCAGTTGACTGAAAAATATGACGACAAGTTGACGCAACTCGGCGAACTGTCAGGCCAAGATGAGGCATTTTTCCAGCTGAGGGATTTCGCTTCTCCCGATGCCAGACTTCTCGTTTATTCGTGTTCCTTCAGCTGTCAGTTGGTGCACATCGCTTCCGCCGCTTAAGGACACTTGAAAAAAATGTGATCTAAAATAAACTAAATATTTAAATTTTTTGTAAATTAATAAGGGAATTTTTCCCTACTGTATTTTTTTTTCCTAAAAACATAAAATCATTCCTCAAAAATCAGATGGGTCTTTAAATCTTTTTTAAAGATGTCTAAAAGTATGCAAAAAAAATATTACCAGATAAATCGGTCATTCTTTTGGATTTTAAATATTTTGTTGCATACTTTTAAACACTTTGGTAAGATATTTTCTTTTAAAAAAGCTGTTTAAAATGGTGCTGTAGTTTTTTTTTATATTAATTTTTTTCTTAATTTCTTTAAGTTTACTTATCAATGCTCATTATTTATTTTTTAATTTTTTCCGAGTGCAGGACATACATGAATAGAAAGGCAGGCCGGCGAGTCAAAGTGAACGAGATGGGGGCAAAAACTGAGGCACGTCACGTATGTTTTTGTGCCCAAGCATTCGCATAAACATTCCTGGTCGGGATCTCGAGTTGCTGCTCCTTCCCTCTCATTTTCCTGGCATCCTCGTATCCTGGCTTCTCATCCAGGACATTGGCATTGACAGGCCCGCGTCGTTTTGCGTTAAATGTCAGCGCTGCCTTTGGCCCCAGTTTTATTTCTTCTCTCCTCCTCTTTTTTCTGCTTTTCGCCGGGGTCACGGCAATTGACCTTCCATTCATCATCCAACGAGGTTGTTTGCCCAAGCACTCTTGTGTGAGTTTCCCGCTGTGTCCTGTCCCGCTGCCCATTGATGTTTACCGCATTTGTTTATCGATTGAACCGGGGAAAAGTCGCGAGTTTTGGGTTACTGAAACAACATCGAGCAAATCGCGGTGGGAGATCTGTAATTATCCCCTCAAATGAGGCTGAACCGTAAAGTTAGTTTTTTTGGGGGAGAAAATAAACGAAAAACAAGAGAGAACGTTATAGTCGGGTGCCCCGACTATCAGATACCCGTTACTCAGGTAAAGGGAGTGCGAGGGAGATGGAGATAGAGATAGAAAACGTTGATCACGCATAACTTTTTAACGAATGGACCGATTTGAAAAATTTCTTCTACATTTCGATAGGTATTGATAAACACCATAAAACTGCATTTTTACTTTTCCGAAATATTGAAATTTTTAAAATCGTATATAAGGGATTGTGGGCGTTAGAGGGGGCGTGGCACTCTTTTGAAACAAACTTGCGCTGCGTAGGAACTCCTAGAATCTGCATGCAAAGTGTCAATCTTCTAGCTTTTATAGTTTCCGAGATCTCAGCGTTCATACGGACAGACGGACAGACAGACAGACGGACAGACGGACAGACGGACATGGCTAGATCGACTCGGCTAGTGATCCTGATCAAGAATATATATAGTTTATAGGGTCGGAAACGCTTCCTTCTGCCTGTTACATACTTTTGCACGAATCTAGTATACCCTTTTACTCTACGAGTAACGGGTATAATAAAGACCAGGACCCATATTAAACATTTCTTCAGAATTTTATTGGTCTTCTTTTATAAGTTTCAAAATCGGACAAATTTTTTTATCATTTTAAGATTGTCTTTATATGATTATTAAATCATATACAATATTATTTGTAGTGCCGAGATTAGGTATTTTATTATAATATTCACTATTTAAAGCTGAGTTTTTGTTAAAAAAAAACATTTTAATCCAAGTATTAAATGAAAAATAAACTTAAAAAATGTTAGTCTTATTTTCGTATAGCATTATTCATAATTTTTCAAATGTATATTATTTGTTAAGTATTATTAATCTATAATTATAATTACTATTTCCAACTTCTGCGTTTGAAATGAGCCTCGAACTCTTTAATGATGGGAATTACTCTTATATTCAAAGTCTACACTTCGGCGCCACACTTCCGTTTCCCCCATTTTCCTTTTTTTTTTAAGCCTTTGTGTGGGTAGGAAGAAAAATGGCGGGGAAAATGAGCAACCGAATAACTGTAAATAAGCAGTGAAGGAATGTGACAACATCCTCGGTGAGGTTGATAAGAAATTCTCGCTCGTTTCCTTGTTACTTTTCTTTTCTTATTTTTTTTCGGCACAAGAGGCAGCAAATGAAAGACAAAAATGCTTGTGTAATGAAAGACTTGAGCAACATAATAAATAATGACAAGGACACCGAACTCCCCTTATTTTTTGTTCCCTTTCGCATTTTCCGAAGCTTCTCTCATTACTTTCTGGGTTTTCCAATGATGCACTCCGAGCTGAAGGATGACAATTAGAAAACGGTTTTCGGAGAGTCATCAGCGAGCATTGGAAAACTCAACAAGCAGCTTTTCCTTTCCCCAAAATGGTTCTTTAACCATGAAAAATGAGCAGCGAAAGGATTGAAGTGGGAATTTTCGTGAAACAAAAGGGAGTCCTTATTGCTGAGATGATTTTTCTGTAAAGCTTTAACAATTCGAAGCTGATAAAAAGTTTTGGAAAAAATTTGATGACAAGCGAGTCATGTTTTCTTTTTTTAAATTATGAGTTTAATTGAGCGTAATTTGTATTATAAGAAGTAAAGTAAATTTAATAGGCTTATAAATGCAAAATTAATAAAAATATTTAAAATTTATGGTAACAAAAAAATGAATACAAAGTTTTAAAAGTTTATTAAACAACAATATTTAAATACTTCAAATATTTAAAATTAAAATAACATTTATTTTAATTTGGGTTATAAGGGAGTCAGGTTTAAATTTAATTAGATTACAAATTTTATAAAGTAAAAAATATTAAAAAATTAACTTTTTATTTTGCCATAATTTGGTTAATAAATACTTCAAGAGATTAACTATATTGGAATATTAAGTTGTCACTTTAGTTTACTGATAGCGAAACAAGTGCCACTATAAATTGAACGCATGACAGGGAAAATTAAATGCAAAATCAACCGAACAAGATAAATTACACAGCATTGAAATCGAAAATATAAAATAAAATCTAGCCCATTATTCAATTTACAACATAATAATATCAATTAAAAATGATTAACAAAAAGTACAAAAAAAAAACCGGTAATCGCCATTTAGGCCACGAAAGCCCCACGAAATCCCCCACGCTTAGTTTGTTCGAACTATTTGTGTACATCAAAACAAAAAGCATTTAATAATTTATTGAAAAACAAGCCGCAAGCAAAAAGCCTAACATAAATGTCGACATGAATGCGGCAAAAAGAAAAACTGTGTGTGTGTTTGGGAACACGAAAATGGTTTTAATGACCATAGGCAAACAAATCATAGAGGGAAAACACATGACTATCATATGCAGGGGAAAATCTATGGCCACCCGAAATATATGTGAACTTAAACTGGACCGGAAATTCATACACCCAAAAAACTTGATATGAAACGATTTTCAATTTGATATTAAGTGATATTAAATTGTGTATGCTCAAAATGTAAACAAGTCAGAGAATCTGCGAGAGAAACAATTGGACAAAACAATTTTATTTAATATAAATTTTACCAGTTTCATGGTAAAAACGATATGCTTATAAATAGGTACGGCGTATTTTTTTTGTGTGCATGCACAAGGATACACATGTGCCATAAGCAAACTTTTTCGGGCCAACTCTTCATCATTTTCGGCCCCCAAAACGAAGAACCGAAGCCGTCGGCACTTTAACCGGTTCCGTTTTAATTGTTACCGCCTTTCTGCCGCTCGGCGAAATGCTTTCCAAATTAATTAATAGCATTGTCTGTCTTTGGCAATTTGCCACGCCCACACACACACACCACACACAAACTATAAATTGAATTTTCTTATGCGTTCTTGGCAGAAAATGGAGTGCGAAGAAAAATTATTTAGCTTGAGGGGAGGAAAATCGAGGCCAAAAGAGGCCAAGTCAGCGAAGAAGAAAAAGAAGAAGACGACGACGAAGCCAAGGAAGAACTTGCCAGGCCGAAAATCCTTTTTTAATTAAATTTTCTGTACATTTTGCAGTTTTTAGGTTTGCCGAGCGACATGACTTTCCCCCGTTCGCCAATTCATGTCGCTCATATGTGACGAAAAGGAAAACTCATGTGTGGTTGCTTTTCCAACGGTTTCAAGGAGTCCGAAAGGAGTAACCGAAGACAAAGTTTCCACTGGCACTGGCGACATTCTGCCATTCTGCAACTCCTTCCCTCGCTTTTTTGTGTGTCAAGTTAATCCAATTAGTTGTTTGCGAACGTAGCTTGCACTCTGATTCCCAGCCATCTGCCTCGCTGCTCGCAACTAAACTAGAAATTCCCAACTAAATTGGACGAGCCGGAGATGGATGAGAATTGATATTGATAACCGCGTTATGGATTGAGGCAAGTCCGTGACTTGGGTGATAAGAAATGCCAGTTGCAGAGCTCTTGGAACTTTGAGAAGTTACATGACTTTTCTTTAAATTGGGCTTTAATGGAGCTTTATTTAAAAGTGTCAAATGCATTTTATTTAGAAAAAATATTTATTTATTTAAATATAAAAAAAAACATTTTTTTTTAATTTTTCTTCTACGAAGAAAAATATATTATCTTACAGTTCCTAGTGTATTTTTTAAATGCTCATTAACATGTTTTTAAATATTAATCATTAAAAATTTAACAAACTTTTTTCTTTTTGATATCGTATTTAATATGCTTAATAAATATAATAAAAAGGGTCGTAATCAGTATCGCTAGAACAAAGCTTTGAGTTTTCCCTTAGAGCATCTTGTTTTTTAATATTAGAAAGTTCTTTGGCTTTTTTGAGTGCATCTCGTTGTTTTAAATGAAATTGTGAACAGGAGCTATTTGGATCAAGTTTGGGGAGAATGTTATTCAGTTCGTCTATACGATCGTTGATTTGCTTTTCAAGGTCAATACGTTGCTGATTGTAAACTTTGAAATCCTGTTCTGCCAGTATTTTATCTTTGAGACGACTCTGGTCCAACTTTATCACACTGCGTATTGCATCTAACTTAGAGGAAAACTCAGAATTTCCAATACATTCACGTTCATATTTGTTAAGAATATTCTGAAGTTCATCTGTTGTTTCCTTATCTAGTTTAGTCAAGGGATCTATTGTAGTAGTTGCAGCAGTGGTAGAACTCACTGAGTTCTGTAAAAAATATTTGCACCTTAATGGGTTTTACGGGTTTTGGATTTTAAAAATATATTACCGCGTCTGCCGCTCCGTTTTCATCACCAGCAGGACGTGGTTCCTTTAAATTCCTTTTAATTAGTTTCATTCCTTAATTCTTATCAATAATTTTAAATACTTAACAGGCTTTATGGTATTTTCTCCTGCCGCTCTAAAAACTATTCCCAGGACTGTGAGGGTCCAAATCCAAATCATTTTCTATTGTCAAGAATGAAAAACACTTTACAGTATTTGTTGAACCAAGCTCAGCCTTTTTATACCCGTAGACCATGGTTTGTAATTTTAATTAAGATAAACCATATAGGAAATTCTTAAGGGCCTGTCACATAAACCATTTTGTGTCTTATCGCTTACAACGATTTTTGTTCATTAACATTTTGCAATGCTTTACTTTATATTGCAAAACAAGAACTTTACGAGATAGTAAGTAATATTTTTATTTTTTATAAATTACATTTTTTTACTATCATATCATATATTACTATCATTATGGCAATGACCAATAATGTTCTAGAATCTAGATTTTTGAATAAATTTATATTTGTGTCTGTTTTTTAGTTCTGATAAACAGTTCATAAAAATAACAAAAGCTTGGGGCTATTATCTCTTTTTTCGGTTCTCTTCAAATTATCTCTCTCGTCTGATTTCACTCTCTGTGTTTTTTGTATTACCCTCTGTTTTCGTGCTGTATAATCCACAGTTACACATTGCTTATCAGTTGTCAAGAGCCCCAGATCCATGTACTGTGCTCTACCCTCTGAATTGTAGGGTATTTGGATTTTAACTAGAAAGTAATACAAAAACTTAAAAAACTAAAAAGCTGTAAAAAAAAAGTATATCAGCTGACAACTTTATTATATTTATTAAATATAATTTGAAAAATAATGGAAATAACACAAATTTTATTCAGATTAAATAAATTTACAAATTAATACTAATATTAAATATTTTTTATTTTTTCTGCTTTTTTAAAACTGTTCAAGCAATTTAATATGAATATTTTTTTTTTTACCAATAGTGGACTTCATCTTTCACCTTGACTTAACCCACTGATTAATACCTTATCTACAGCAGATGCTGTACGTTATGGGTTAAGTCGGACCTTCGCACCCCTTCGTCCCCCTTTTGCTCACAAATTCCCTGGCATGACGTGCATTTTTATGACACGCCGTGCTCAAAGCTTTTTAAAATGTTGTTTAAAAAATCAAAAAAAAAAGAAAGAAGAAAATAAAAATAAAAACAAAAACACGACCGGGAGAGAAGATCCGCTGGTAAAATAATGAAGCTGTCCGCAGCATTCCACGGAGTTCGCTTTGTCCGGAGGTCTTTTCAGTACGCTTTTTGCAGTCGAAAACGTGTGACACTTTGCGTCCGGTATGCGTTGTTGTTGTTGTTGTTTTGTGTGCTCCCCGGAAGCAAAATTAATTACAAAATATTTGCAGCTCATAATTTCATTTTCTGTGTGTGTTGTTTACTCAATTGCAGGCGGCCACAGCGGGCAACACACCAAAAACAGCAGCGGCAGCGGTAGCAAAAGCAGAGATATCAAGTGGCGCTGCAGCTGGAAAATCAGCAATATCTGCCGCGGCCACGCCCCCCGCGACTTCCGCCCCCACTGCAGCAGCAACAGCGGAAATTGAGCAACTGCAACAGGCATTAATCGAGAAACAAACCCAGCTCTATGCCCTGGAATCGGCCTGTCTGAGGGAAACCGAACGGCAAGTGGAACTGGAGGATAGTGTGATTGCGTGGCAGGATAAATACGATCGGCTGTACGAATCGCACAAGCGGGTGCAGAAGGTCAATCAGAGTCTGGAGGACAAGATGCTCAAGCTGGTGGATCGAAATGCCGGCGAAAGGGCCCAGTTGACCAGTGATGTGGCCACCTTGAGTGTGAGGCTCGCCCAGGCCAACTTCAACATCGCCAAGTTGCAGAGGGAAATCGTAAGTTTTTTACAAGATTTTTAATTTAGAAATAAAAGTGTAGGTTATTTTAGGGCCATTGAAATTAGTAGGGTTTTGAAATCACTTCAAAAAGCGCCAAAAAGTATGCAGTATAACCTTGCAAACTAAAAAAATTGTTGCATACTTTTAGAGAGATTTTTAAGTGATTTCAAAGTTTTCTCCTTTATTTTATTTACTTAAAAGTTGAAAATTTTTAAATCAAAAAGCCAAACTATTGTTTCCATTACAGCCTCTATCTCATTAAATATTTGCTTAGGCAGATGTCAATTAAATACTTAATGCTAATGGCCTTTAGTCACTTCAAGTGATTGTGAGAAGCTGTTTGAGTGCTCTTAAAGTTTCCTTATCTCCCAGAGAAAACAATAAACCTGTTGTCACTCAAGTGATTTTATATGACTGCCTACAATTATTGAGAAATTGAGAAATGTGGTATAAAAAAGCTTTAAAAGCTCTTTAAAATTCAATTGCTGTGAATGAATATGTTCTCCATTAGAATATAATCAGGTGTTGATGGGGTAATTCATTTTTAATGATTATTGTCAAAACGGTTTATTATTCAGCAGTATTTTAGTAAAAATTTACTTTTTAATTATTCTTTAAAACATCGAGTAGTTTCCAATTTTTTTTGCCTAAACAATTCTTGAGTGTGATATTAAATTTATAGAAAATTTACTTAGAAATATCCTAGTGCTTTGACAAAAATCCCCAACTTTCTCCACTTCATTCTTTGACAATTTTCCAATCCCAAAAAAAGTGCGGCAGCCCAAACAGCTTAAAGTGGATTTCCGATTTGGAAGTCCAAGTCTCGAATATAACAGCTGCCACAACCAGTTGAAGCCCCCCAAATCCCCTTTCCCTTTTCTCCCCTTGGATCTCAGTGCAAGCAACTAATTGGCCGCCAAGTTCTGAGAGGAAACACAAACACACTTAAGTCTGGCTCTGAATTTGGGGGTGTTTTTCCTTTTTTCCCCCTTTTTTTTTGTTTGGTGGGGGAGGTAGACCACTGGAACTTTAAGCTTTCAGTGGGTGGGGAAAGTCTAAACAAATGAAAGGCGGCAAAGCGTTAAAAACTCAGAGTTGCACTTCTACTTACGACAACTTTCCACACTCCGCCCTTCACATTTTGTAGTTTGTAGTGTGGGAAAAACTAGAAAAGTTTTCCAATTCAGTTTTGTTTTTGCCATGCTGCGAAAAATACGAATATCTGCTGGGCAAAAAAAAGTTTTCAATTAACGCAAAAAACAGTAAAAATGCATTCGATGATTGGCGGGGGAAACGAAACCTTTTAACGGAGGTGTCCTGCGGGTGTCCTACTTGTTTTAGGCGAGGTGTTTGCGCAAAGCGATACACCATGTTGCACACAATTAGTGGGACATTGAACAAAGAGAAAACACTTAGGAAAAAAATCTGAACTGAATAATATGAATAGGAACATTTTAAAATATTATTGCACGATAAGTGAAATGTATAATCTTTAAATTGTAATATAAATCATTATTCTACATTTCTTGATGTCATACCTACCCTAACTTGTTTTACAAAATCTGTTTGTGTTTGTTTCTTAAAAATATACATACATTTTTTTAAATAATTTTACATTTTTGTACTTTATTCCGGACTTAAAACTCCAAAGAAATGTATTATAGGAATTTAAACATTTTCAAATTTAAATGGCTACATTTAATGCCATATTAAATTAAAAAATAAATTGTTTCATTTTATTTTGTTTTTTTTTAATATTTATAAACTATAATTTTTGACATTTAATTTCTAAAAACTTGCATTAATTTCCTAAATGGCAATTTGGCATTTTTGCCAAGTGCAAACAAACAAGGAGGTTAAAATGAAATTGAGGAGGTGCTACAGCTGCAAACTGCTTTATTAACTTGTTTTTTGCCTCCTTTGTTGCTTTCGCTCGCTTTTGCCCGCTTTTTCGTTGCTGCGTCGAGTGTTTGCGCAAATTAATACTTAAAAAGCATTTCCACCTCTTCAAAAGTTGCGCAGTTTCTGTTACGTTCCGCTTGACTTTGCTTTGTTTTTCTGTTGCTGTTGCCGTTTTTGTGCAGCGTTTTATTTTCGTCCTGGCTGCCACTTTTATATGCTTCTCTATTTTTTTTGTGCTTCTCAAGGAGGCGCCTGCAAGTATGCAATGCTTTTTAAGCGGTTTTTTGACCCGTTTTCAAGGATCCAATGATGTTTTCAAGGGGTTTTGTCACACACAAGTGGCGGGGACTTGCATTTTGATTGCCGGGCGGAATCCAAAGTGGTGGGGCTGAATTTTATTGGTGATCAAAAATAATTGAGCTTTTGTTTTGAGCGTTCAGAAATTGATGAGAATTTTGAAGGAGTGAAAGCTTAAGCTTTATGACTTAAAACCTGGACTTTTATGGTTATTTCGGTCCTTCAATTTATGTGTTTAAAAATATATAGAAGTATTTTAAAGTTTGGCCAATTGGTTTGCAATAAGTGGAAAATGAGGGACGACAGTGCGTATGAGTAATATTTTTTGTCAGAATTAAATAAAATTTATTTTCAAGTTTGCGTGCTATTAATTATAGTTATTATAAATATTATTTAATACCATTTAACACAATATTTCTTAATACTATTCAATAAATAGAAATGCTGCACTGCGTATGAGTAATATTTTTTAGGACTAATAATATTTCATTTGATAGAAAAAATGTAAATTTAATAAGAAAATTTGCATTCTTTTAAAAGCCTTGAGCCTAAATACTTTAATATCTGCTGAAGCCCAAAGAAAAGTTATAAAGTTTTTGTTTAAGTTTCGGCCACTTTAGCCACCATAATTCCCAGCTTCCGGATCATTTTTCATTTTGCATTTTTTCGCCGTCTGTTTGCCTGCAAGTCTACGAATTTTGTGAAGTGAACGAATCATCAGGCGAGACAGAACAAAGTGTAGATGGTGGGAAAGGGGGCGTTGAGATTTCGGGGTAGTTGTAGGGGAGTTGGGTGAGTGGAAACAACAATGTCAATAACCTTTTTGCCAGTTTTCGTTCAGTTCTTGGGCCATCTTTCCTCTCTTCCTGTCACATCGCCCGGCATTCCGGCTGATAAAAAATCAGCACTTGGTCATGGACTGTCGCTGCGTCACGTGCCTGACTGCGGATCTCCCGATGCCATTTACCTTCTGGCTACCTACGTTTCAGCCCCCTTGCCCCCTGTTTTCACCCCCCATCTGTTTTGGCCATGGTTCGTTAATCTGACAGTGGCTTTTTGCATGATAGCTCGGCATTTCCGTTGCAAAACACTTAGTCGCATACTCGCCCGATGCTTCAGTTTCTGTTCGCTTGGTCCTGCTCCCTCTTCCAGCCCCCCTTCTTCATCCCCACGCCCATGGATGTGTCCTGTAATCCTCCCAGGGCCATCATGCTTCATTGTTGTTGCCTGTTATTATTGTTTACCGCTCTTACGGGAAAATGCTGGCTGAAAAGCTGGAAACACAGGGCATTACACAGAGGAAGAAATAGACAAATTGTGTTTTGATATAATCTGCACTCAGTCATTAATATCATTGGCCAGCTATCAAAGTTACCAGATCAATATTGGGAAATTGGCTTGTGTTGATTCGATAAATAGAAAATACCAAATGAATGGAATTTTAAATTTGTTTACCAACCGAGAGCCTGTATAACTGTAGGTCTGAGTTGGATTTACAAGCAAGTAGAGATTGTTTAGTAAAACAGGAAATATAGGTTCACAAATTTCATTTGAACTATTTAATAACTCTAAAAAGGTTGTCAAAAAGTATGCAATAAAATTATTATTTATCCAAAAGTTCACTGCATACTTTTAGGGACCGTTGTAAGTGCTTTCAAAACACAAATGTTTTTTCCCAAAATTGTTTCACCAATTTCTGGCTTATAAACAAATTTTAAAAATCGATTTAAGTCCCCTCTTTTTCGCTGTGTAATGCATATAATGCTTTTTCCGTTTATGCTTTTAAACCTAGCCCCTCTTCTGCTTTTAACTATCCATCTCCCTGGCTCTTTCTGCGGCTTGGTTCGAATATTTTAAATCGCCTGCACAGAAGGCAGACACCCAGGACAACAACAACACCATCGTTAGCCACGCCCTCCTTTTGTAATTCCCACTTGCATTAAATGCCGAGCAAATGTAAATATGCTCAGGGGCTGTCACCGTCCCTTTTTCGCCCAGATGTGTTTGTCCCTTTCGCTCCGGCTTCGGGCTCCCGGCTCCCAATGCGTCGCCTCCGTTGCAATTGGAGCAGATAAAATGCAGCAGGAGTTCACGTGGCGAACTATGAAACGATTCCCAATTCCCGCAGGCCTCATCTCTGCGTCAGAGTCTCAATTCCCTGTCCCTTTTCCACAATGCCCTCATACCATACCTGCCTTTACATTTCCATCTCTGGTTTTCCCTGTTTGGTAATGACGCGCTTGTGGTTTGCCTTCTGGTCTGGCTGCTCTGTATGGCTCCTGTTCGGGACTGCGAGTGCCTGCCCTGGACCTCTGGCAAACGTGTGTGTAATTAATGTTTTCCACCTAAAACACAGGGAGAAACTGCTAATGGAAAGAAAAGGAAAAGAAACGATGAAAGAGTATTGAACAGAACTACTTTATGCTATGTACAATGAGCGTATATATAATGCCCCACGTTGGGCGCCAATTTGTGGTACAAACACATAATGCCCCACGTTGGGCGCCAAGTTTTAGCTGCATTTTGATCTGTTAATAACTTTTTAATGTCCATTTAAGTTTTAATCATCTGAAAAATATGAAAAAGAAGAAGTATCCCTTTTCTCTCAGTGCCCAACGCACTTTACTCCTTTCCGGTTGCCAAGGGATTTTCCCCTGTTGCATGCCCCATTTTGTTGTCCAACAGACCGGTGCAACATGGCGTATAAGCGATTGTATTGTAGGCCTTGTTTATCAGCTGATAAGCAAGACCCCAAGAAAGTATGTATTCGCTAGCATATACTTTTCCTCAAGGACCCT